GCATGTAGCCCAGGCTTAAGTGCAATGGCACAATCTCAGCTCACTGCAACTTCAACCTCCCGGGTACAAGCGGCTCTTGTGCCTCAGCCTACTGAGTAGCTGGGACTGCACAGGTGTGGCACTACGCCCCACTAACTATTTGTATTTTTTGGTAAAGATAGAGTTTTGCCATGTTGGCCAGGCTTGTCTCAAACTCCAGGCCTCAAGTGATCTGTCTCCCAAAGTGCTGGGATTACAGGCATGAGCCACCGCACTTGACCTGGTATATTTTTAAAATAATTTTCTGTATAGAAACAGGTTGTCCTTTTCACTAAAGAGAATCTATTTTAATTTTTTAAAAGTCTCAAACTTGTAAATGGAATAGTTTTATTCCATTTTCATAAGATCTACTCAGAAAGTAGCCAAACCTTTCCTAAGCCTCCCTCTTGAAAGATTTTCAGTTTTCAAGGTAGCCAAAAGTAAACCTGTTTTGTTTTTGTTTTGTTTTGAGATGGAGTCTCTGTTGCCCAGGCTGAACTGCAGTGGCACAGTCTCAGATCACTGCAACCTCCGCCTCCTGAGTTCAACTGATTCTCCTACCTCAGCCTCCCAAGTAGCTGGGATTATAGGTGCCTGCCCCCATGCCTGGCTAATTTTTGTACTTTTAGTAGAGATGGGGTTTCACCATGTTGGCCAAGTCGGTCTTGAACTCCTGACCTCAAATGATCCACCCACCTTGGCCTCCCAAAGTGCTGGGATTATAGGTGTGAGCTGCCTAAACCTGGTATTCTTAAGGGCCAAAAGGATTATGCATCTTGAATAGGCAAGCAGTTTAATAAATATTTCATGTCAGAAGCAAATATATGATGGGTACAATTTCTAGATATTCCTAAGAAAGTTTCAGTTCTGCTCTAAAATTTTTAAAAGGTCTTCCCCAACCTCCACACCTTTCCTACCAGTTTTTTTATAGTTTCTTCTTAAAGCAGAATTAAGCCTGTGGGTGTTTTGCTGTAGTCCTAGAATTCACTGCAGAGTTGTATAACATTTGGCAAAATTATCTCTTCTGTGATCCTACAGGCCCACGAGAGTTCATTTATCTCTGATAGAGTTATTGTCTCTGGTGGAAATAGAGCTGCCTTTTTTTTTTTTTTTTTTTTTTTTTTTTTTTTTTTGAGGTAGAGTTTACTTGTTTCCCGGGCTGGAGTGCGGTGGCACAGTCTGGGCTCACTCAAGCCTCCACCTCCCCAGTTCAAGCGATTCTCCTGCCTCACCCTCCTGAGTACCTAGCATTACAGGCATCTGCCACCACACCCAGCTAATTTTTTTTTTTTGTATTTTTAGTAGAGACTGGGTTTCACCGTGTTGGCCAAACTGGTCTCAAACTGCTAACCTCAGGTGATCCACCTGCCTTGGCCTCCCAAAATGCTGGGATTATAGGCATGAGCCACCTTGCCTAGCTGGTCAAAAGTAAACATCTCACCAGGCTGCTTTTTTTCCCCCCCCTAAAGACTTTCTATATAGCAGGTCAGTCTTAAACACTTTGCATAATTATTTTCCTTAACTTTCACAATAATCTAGTAATCTAGTCAGGCAAGTGTACTGTTATTTTAAGCCCATCTTTTATAGATCAAGGAACAGAGGAATGAAGATTACATGATCTGTCACATAAGTGGCCTACCTAGAGCCCAAACCCAGGTTGTTCATTACTACACTGTACTGCTGTCCACATTTTACCTTTTAGTTTTTTGCCATTCCACCTTAATGACTTTCAATTTCACTATGTGATTTGTATGTCTCTTTAGCCATATTAAGACAATGGAATTATTGATGGAAGTCTGAGAGCAGACTACTATTTTTAGTGGGTTCCTTTGCCCACAGGATGTAAAGGACGATCTTTCTTAGTCTGGCCTCCAATATATACATCCCATCCTGATCCTTTTCATATTCTATGCTCGAACCAGTCTGGACTATATAACCATTCTTAAGTATACCTTGTACTTTTCTATCTCTCAGTATGTGTTCACAGGAAACTCTTCCCTGTGAAATCTTTCCTGCCTCTTTTTCTTTGCCTTCATCTCTACTGAAAGAGAAATGTGCTGAATGTACATTCTGACTAGATGGCCAGGTGTTAAAATCATTGAGGCCACTGCATACAGGTATGCCTCAGAGATACTGTAGTTTGGATCTAGATCACTGCAATAAAGTGAATATGTCAATAAAACCAGTCAAATGGATTTTCTGGTTTCCAGTGTGTGTAAGTTTTGTTTATACTTTAGTCTATTAATAGCAATATGTTCATAAAAACAACATACATATGTGGCTGGACATGGTGGCTGAGGTAGGTGGATCACTTGAGGGCAGGAGTTTGAGACCAGCCTGGACAACTTGGTGAAACCCTGTCTCTACTAAAAATACAAAATGTAGCCAGGTGTGGTGGCCAATGCCTGTAATCCCAGCTACTCAGGAGGCTGAGGTAGGAGAATTGCCTGAATCTGGGAGGTGGAGGTTGCAGTGAGCCGAGATCATGCCACTGCACTCCAGCCTGGGCAACAGAGCAAAACTCTGTCCAAAAAAAAAAAAAATCATAACAATGTACATATATTTAATTAAAGAATATTGCTAAAAATGCCAATGAGCATCTGAGCCTTCTTCGAGTCAATATTGTTGTTGGAAGGTCTTTCCTTGATGTTGATGCCTGCTGACTGATAAGGGTAGTACTTGCTGAAGGCTGGAGTGTCTGTGACAATTTCTTTAAATGAGACTATTAATACAATGAGGTTTTCTGCATCGATTGATTCTTCCTATCACAAATGCTTTCTCTGTAGCATCCGATTGTGTTTCATAGTATTTTACCCATAGTAGAACTTCTTTCAAAATTGGCATTTCAGGGGTGCACTCTGGCTCATGCCTGTAATCCCAGCACTTTGGGAGGTTGAGGCAGGAGGATCACCTGAGGTTAGGAGTTTGAGATTAGCCTGGCCAACGTGGTGAAAACCCGTCTCTACTAAAAATACAAAAATTAGCCCAGTGTGGTGATGCACACCTGTGGTTCCAGCTACTCAGGAGGATGAGGCAGGAGAATCACTTGAACACAGGAGGTGGAGGTTGCAGTGAGCTGAGATTTCGCCACTGCACTCCAACCTAGGTGACAGAGACTCCATCTCAAAAAAAAAGTGCCACCCAGTGTGGTGGTGCGTGCCCATAATCCCAGCACTTTGGGAGGCCAAGGTGGGCAGATCACTTGAGCTCAGGAGTTGGAGAGCACCCTGGGTAACATGGCAAAGCCTCTTCTCTACAAAAAAATACAACAGTTAGCCAGGTGTGGTGGCAGCAACTTGGGAGACCAGGGTGTGGGAGGATCACTTGAGCCCAGGAGGTTGGGGCCTCAGTGAGCCGTGATTGTGCCACTGTACTCCAGCTTGGATAACGAGTGAGACTGTATTCCGCCCCCCTCCCCCCCGCAAAAAAAAAGTGCCTATATCGCCATTATATTATAGACTGAATTTCTGTATAGAAAAATAAATTAAAAACATATCCCGAATATGCTGTTAAAGTTTGATATAGTGTCACATTGTCAGCTACTAGATTGTTTCTGCGGTCACTATACTTAGGTTTGTGATCAATATACTTACTTATATTTGTAATAATAATAGATGGTTATTTTCAAGTTTTCAGCTGATGTTGGGAGAACACATTTTTTTGACTCAATTTTATATTACATGTTTAATTAAAAGATAAATAATTGAAATAATCAGGCAGTTTCACTAGCTATTGTATCCAGTGGCTGTAGGCCTAAGGTTGGGACAATATAAGAAGTATAAACTGTTGTTCCATCATCTGTTCTCATATGCCTCTCAAATGTAAACATCTCTCCAGGCTTGAGTGCCTTTCTCCTGTTGAAGATATTTTTCATAGCTTCATACCTCAAACAAGCTAGCTATTCCCACTGGCACTCATTCCAATGATGGAAGAAAAGCCAGCTGTGTTGGACTTGAGGGGTGGGTATATTAATCTCTAGCATTGTGCTTTTCTAAGGAATGATAAAGGGTAATTTTCACTGGACTAACTTTCACAATATATTGTACACTTACTTCAGAACCTAACTCTTCCCTCCAACGCCCACCCCCCAAACCTGGTGCTCTGTTGCCCAGGCTGGAATGCAGTGGTACAATCTCAGCTCTGTAACCTCCGCCTCCCAGGTTCAAGTGATTTTCCTGCCTCAGCCTCCTGATTATGGGATTACAGGCGTGTGCCACTAATTTTTTGTATTTTTAGTAGAGATGAGGTTTCACCATGTTGGCCAGGCTGGTCTTGAACTCCTAACCACATGATCCACCCACTGTGGCCTCCCAAAGTGCTGGGATTACAAGCATGAGCTACCTGCCAGCTCAACCCTAACTCTTTACATGAAAGATAGGAATGCTACTATACATTTTGTTAAATGAATGATCTGCTATTTTTTCTGCGTTTCTGTAATCCTTTATTACTCAAATGACATTTTTGCAGCTTATTTGTTAATAGCTATTTGTTCATGTCTTATCAGTTAAAAAGCAGGAATCATGTCCTTTATATTTCTTAGTAGTTGTCATACTAGTTTTTATTTAATATTTATAGGATGAATAGACATTTGTTTGTTTGTTTGTTTGTTTTTGAGACAGAGTCTCGCCCTGTTGCCCGGGCTGGAGTGCAGTGGCATGATCTTGGCTCACTGCAGCCTCCACCTGGGCTGAAGCAGTCCTCCAGGCTCAGCCTCTCCATTAGTTAAGACTACAGACGTGCACTACCATGCCTGGCTAATTTTTGTGGTTTTTATAGAGACAGGGTTTCACCGTGTTACCCAGGCTGGTCTCAAACTCCTGACCTCAAGTGATCCGCCCACCTTGGGCAGATCCCAAAGTGCTGGGATTACAGGTGTGAGCCATTGCGCCCAGCATTAGACAGCTCACTGTACAGTGATCATAAACCCCAATACCCTTTGCTAAATGTTGCCTCTCAATTACCACTTTTCCCTCTTCCCACAGCTCTTTCGACGTGTAGCAGCAGCTTTGCCTGGAATGGAAAGCACACAGGACAGAAGCAGAGAAGACAGTATCCTTGTTTAATCAGAAATTTTTCATTGTTAACATTAGTCTTTAAAGTCCTGCTTGCTTGGCTAAAGAATATTATGCCATTGCCTTTTACAAACCAGGAACTGATGGCTTAGGGGCATAATTCAGAGGTTTTCTATAGCAAATGGGGTCAATGGGGTCTGGTTATCCAAGTGTACACTTTGTAGCCTGCTACTCATTGTTAATCAGTGAGAGGCTAATGTGTGTTTGCTTGCTTTTTAATGAGCAGGAAACTCTCAGAATGCCTGTCTCCTTGTCTCTTCATTTTGAGTCCCATTGACTCTGGGCTTTTTCCTCGTAGAATATCATATTTTCATTTCTTTCTTTTTCTAACACTTGAGCTTTCTACTTCACACAGGCAAGAAATAGAGTGGAGCTTTATTGTAGCCTCTGTTTTCAGAAACAGGACATAATATTAGTTCATTTCCAAGGATTAGAACATCTAACATTAGTTAATACTAAGGATTTTTAATTTGTTGTGTTCCATGTTTCATATTTACTTTCTAGTGTTTTTCCATATGCAGGCATTTTTACTAAGCCATATAGTTCATAGCACTTTGTATTCAGCTCTTCCCTCTTGTAAATGTTTTATGTTCTCATAAAAAACATAATTGTTTTAAAAAAACATAATATGTTCTTCATATCATATGCTTTGTAATATGTATCATGTTTCAAAACATAATATGTTAACTACTGAGTTGAAGTTTGTCCCGCATGCCCTTTTTTTTTTTTTTTTTTTTGAGACAGTGTCTCATTCTGTCGCCCAGGCTGGAGTGGTGCAATCTCGGCTCTCTGCTCTGCAACCTCTGCCTCCCAGGTTCAAGTGATTCTCCTGCCTCAGCCTCCCAAGTAGTTAGGACTACAGGCACAAGCCACTATGCCCAGCTAATTTTTGTATTTTTAGTAGAGATGGGATTTCACCATGTTGGCCAGGCTGGTCTCGAACTACTGACCTCAGATGACTCAACTGCCTCAGCCTTCCAAAGTTATGGGATTAGAGGTATGAGCCACTGTGCCCGGCCTGAAAGTCCCATTATTTATTAAATGTTTCCCCTGCTGTTGGAACTGTCTTACAGGCTATTTTTAGATTTATATTATATATAATTCTATGAGGAACATCATCTTCATGTCACTTCTTGCTCCTATAGAATAAGTTCCTTAGGATAGATACCCATAAATAGAGCTTGTACCTCATTCTGATCCTTGTTGTGTATAGTAGATACAAGCAAGTTTATTCCATTTGAGCACCTTATATGGTGAGGTGGCTATGTAGAAAATAGTGATTGTGTAGGCTCTGAAGTCAAATAGGAATATAAGGGCCATCCCAGAAATCCTAGTGTTTGGAAGAATTGAAACTGTACTTTCCCATTTGTGGCTCCTTAACTTTTGTTTCAGTGATTGACATAAAACTGGAAAAGCCTCAGGAGCAACCAGTCAGTGAAGGCGGCTGCTCCTGCTAATCTCCCATGTCATCTTCAACCCTTCTTCAGAAGCTCACTGCTTTGGCCCCCTTACTCTTTCATTGACTGCAGTGTGAATATTGGCTTGAACCTTTTCCCTTCAGTAATAATGTATTGCAATTCATCATTGCTGCCTGTCTCGTGGAGATGATCTTTTAGCTTCACAAGCACAAAAAAAAGTCAGTGTCTTCATTATTTCTATTTTACAAAAAGCCAAAATATTACAACATATTCCAGTGATAACTTTAAAAATTAGATACATTTTCTTAACATTTTTTCCTTTTTTTTAATGTTATGATAATGTACTTCGAAATGATGGAAATCTCAACAGTAGGAGTATGGCTTGGTTAATAAGCAGTATATTCACAGCTTACTTGATCTCTCCTTGCTTTTCTTATGTCTCTCTTACCTCCTTTCCCTGTATCTTACCTAGCCTCCCCCACTTCTTCAAAACAAATGAGATGGCAAAGCAGCAGTCAGACCAAGCCCATTGGAATTATCCTTTAATTTTACAGATACCACTTCCTGTAGGCCATGGGCCAAAATGTCCAAAATTATTCTTGAGCACTGATATGAATTACTTAGATCTTCTTTGGGATCAGAATTCAACTATCATGGTAGGCAGTGCTTGAATGAGAAAAGGGTCCTGGTGCATCTTCAAAATGAGTCCTAAAGAACATACTGAGTACTTGTAAGTAGAAGAACATAAAATGTATTTCTGACTAAAACAAATGGCCCTTTCACATGTGCTTTATTAGACCCTGGGAGAGAAAATTAACCAAGTGCTTCAGAACAGGTTTTTAGTATTCTTCATGGTAAAATAATGAAGTTCTAATGAACTGTTTCTCCCAAGGTTTTAAAATGTTAGGAGTTATTCTGTTTGTTTAAAAAATAATAACAAACCTCTTTAAGCAATAGATTTTGCTTGGGTTTTCTTTATAAAAAAAAAAATACTATGTAGGCAAGGCACTGTAAAAGTTCAGTTCCTTTCAGAAGAACCAGTGGAAGAATTTAAATTTGGCACTATGATCAAAACTACTAAATTAGTAGAACTAATGGTATCTAAAGCTTACCAACAAAAGAACCCTCAGGAGAATAGCAAAAACTTTGCTCAGGACATTTGAGGTCAAAATGAAGACGGAAGCCGTTTTCTTATAAGCCCCTAGAGGCAGATCAGGTAAAGCATGCATAGTAGAGGGAAAGGAGAGAATGGAAATAAAACTCAATGTTATGCAGATTTATGCCTTATTTTTTAGCATTTTTTAATGTTGGGTCTTTCAAGCTGGTTTTGGTTTGTATTAGATCTGTATAGTTTAATTAACTAGTGATTTAGTTTTATATTTAAGCTACAATTAATCTTTTTTCTTTGGTGATATTTATTTCTTTGCCTTTTTTTTTTTTAACAACTTTCAATTTTTAGATGTTTTGTTGAATCTATTTAGAGCTTCACCATGGCAATATGTATTTCCCTTAAAACACTGCAAACAAATATACTAGGAGTGTGCCCTTTTAATCTTTACTAGTTATTGTGAGATTGCTGTGTAAGCTAATAAACACATTTGTAAATACATTGTTTGCAGGAAGAAAACTTCTGAGTTACAGCTCAGGAAAAGCCTGCTGAATTTACGTTGTAAGCATTACTTAACACAGTATAAAGATAAAAAGACAACAAAAATACCTTCATACTTCCTTATTCCCTCACTGCAACAAAACCTTAAACTGGGAGAACCTTAGTCCCCTCTCTTTCCTCTTCCTCCTCCACTTCCCACTTATTGTCACCTTGTAATATTCAAAGAGCACTTGGATTATGGATCTGAATAGAGAAATGCTTACAGATAATCATTAGCCCACATACCAGTAACTTATACTTAAAGATGGGATGGAGTTGTAAAGTGCTTTTATAATACAATATAATTGTTAAAAGCAAGGGTTGACTCTGTTTTATTTTGACATGGCATGTCCTGAAATAAATATTGATTCAATATGGCAGATGGGTCATATTCTTTATTTGGAAGAAGTTGTGACTTCTGACACAGGGGTGATTGTCTTCCTACACTGTTGCGTTTGATTCTTTTTATGTATTTTTAAGAAAATAACCAGTTATGCTGCTTTTAACATTGGTCTTTTTATTTGGCTTGGAGTTCTTCAAAGTGTGTTCATAGTCCAGATTTTTTTTAATAAACACATTTTTGCTGCCAAAAATATATAAATAAAACACAAAAGAAAACAATTATTGACTTGGTTTCCCATTCCTACCAAGATGGTTAATTAGCATATGCTTCTCCCTCCCTAGACCTGTACCAGATATGGATGGAATCCAGAAAAATAACAAAAAATGTGAGGAACTCCTGGGGAGTCAGAAGACTCTTTTTTTGATGGGGGTATTGTTGGAGGGTTAGGGGAGAGGGGCTGCAACTTTAAATATGTAGCCCTGGTGGAGGCAGTAATAGGACATATTAAGAAAAGTATGTTAAGTTCTGCTTTTGCCTCCTTACTCTTAATTATACCTTTGCCTTGGGACAGAAGCCAGCAAACTGTGTCCTTCCCACCAAATCCAGCCTGGTACCAGTTTTAAAAATTAAGTTTTATTGGAACTCAGCTATACTTTCTTACTGTAATGGCAGAGTTTAATAGCTGCAGTAGACCTTTGGCCCTAAAAGCCAAAAAAAAACCCGTTTACTATCTGGCTCTTTATAGACAAAAGGACAACCATGGCTGAACCCTTTACTGTAGAAATGAAAGTCAGAGGCCAGAATACTAGTGCAGGTGTCCACAAGAGTATTGTTAGGGTAGTAAAAAAGCCCCAGTAAGCTGATGGAAATAAAGGCAAGGCCCTAAAATAATTTTGGCTTGGGGGGATGATACTGATACTGAATCGGAGTGATTACATGTGGTCTTATAGTTACTAGAACTCCTTGCCCCAAAGTTTGTCCCCTCCTCTCCTTCACTTGACAGTCTTGTCCCCTGTGCCTTCCATATTAGTGGCCTATACCCCAAGGGGAATTGGAACTCACACAGCAATGTAGTTGATACCTAAAAACTGCCTCAAAAGTGAAAGTGAATATCTGAAGCAGAAGTACTTTGGGAAAGACAACCAGTAATTTAAAGATGACCTGATAAATATTAAGGAGATAAGATATGAAACACGAATTTAGAATCATAAATTAAGTGTGAAATTTTTTAAATTGTTGAAATGATGAACACAGCCAGGTGCAGTGTTTCACACCTGTAATCCTAGCACTTTGGGAGGCTGAGGTACAAGGACAGCTTGACCCTAGGAGTTCAAGACCAGCTTGGGCAACATGGTGAGACCCCATCTCTACAAAAAATTTAAAAATTAGGTGGGCATGGTAGCACACACCGGCAGTCCCAGCATCTCAGAAGACTGAAGTGAGAGGATTGCTTGAACACAGGAGTCCAAGGCTGCAGCAAGCTCTAATCACACCACTGTCCTCCAGCTTGGGCAACAAAGCAAGACCCTGTTTTTTAAAGGAAAGATACAGAACACATAGATACGATAAATGGTAGAATGGATTCCATTGACTGAGTTAGAGAGCTGGAACATTAAGTTGAAGAACTCATTCATTGGGAAACAGAAATAGCTTTCTTGTTCTTGCCGTGTGATAAAAAGCATGGCAAAGCTCCCTCTTTGCCTTATTGTAAGCTTTTTGAGGCCTCACCAGAAGCAAATGCTAGCACCATACTTCTTGTACGGCCCACAGAACTGTGAGCCAGTTAAAACCTTTTTTTATTCTTCAGATGATGTCTCAGTCTGTCATCCAGGCTGGAGTGCAGTGGTGTGATTTCATCTCACTGCAACCTCTGCCTCCTGGGTTCAAGCAATTCTGCCTCATCCTGCCAAGTAGCTGGGATTACCAGTTTAGGTAGTATAAAAAAATTTGAACTTTGGAATCTCAGCTCTGCCATTATTTGTTCTATGGCAAATACTTCTTTAGCCTTAGGTTTTTGTAAAAATTTTTTTACAAAAAAATTAGGCGTGGTGGCAGGCGCCTGTAATCCCAGCTGCATGGGAGGCTGAGGAGCAGAATCATTGAACCAAGGAGACAGAAGTTGCAGTACGCCTGGATCATGCCACTGCACTCCAGCCTGGGTGACAGAGTGAGACGCTGTCTCCAAAAATAATGTTACTCTTCTTACCTACTGCCTTTTCATCTCTATTCTTTGAAGGAAGTTTCTATGTGCAGCCCATACTAAAGGAATTCGGATTTGATTTTTTGTTGTTTGTTTTATACGGAGTCACTCTGTTGCCTTGGCTGAAGTGCAGTGGAACAGTCTTGGCTCACTGCAGCCTTCACCTCCCAGACTGAAGTGATTCTCCTTGAGTAGCTTGGATTACAGGCACCTGCCACCATGCCTGGCTAATTTTTGCATTTTTGTTAGAGACATGTTTCACCATGTTGGCCCGGCTGGTCTCGAACTCCTGATCTCAGGTGATTTGCCTGCCTTGGCCTCCCAAGGTGCTGGAATTACAAGCCTGAGCCACCACGCCTGGCCCATGAACACTTTTCTACCTACTTTTTGGTGAAGGTAAGTACACATTTCTTTTGGGTGCACCCTAGGAATAGAATTGATTGGTTGTAATGTATGCATATGCTTGGTCTTGCCAATCAGTTTCCAAAGCAATTGTACCAATTTAACTTTACACTCATTCCAGCAGTTTTTAGGAGACTCCAATTGTTGCTTATCAGTACTTAATATCATCTGTCTTTTGCATCTTTGGCCATTTTAATTCAAAACTTTTAAAATGCCATGTGCTGATCAGACAAAACAATTTGTGGGCCAGATGTAGTCCATAGGCCACCTCTAGATTAGACTGGTTTGTCTATGAGGATTAATGTCTGTCTTAATGTGTGTGTGAATAATTAAAAGATTGTCTACAGCTGGAAGAATTAAAAATTCATGTTGTAGTCCTACTAGTGGGGAGATTTTGAAGCAAACTGCATCAGGAGTATCCATTTGCATTATTGTTTTGTTCAGTGGGGCAACTGGAAAGCACCATTGACAGAAATGTGGGGAGGTTTTTGGGGAAAGCCAGAACAGAAGACCGGGGATTGAGAAGAGGAAGTTGAAACTTCTGCAAGTGAACTAAAAACCTGTCCCCTTACAGGGGGATAAGGAATAATTTAGTTTTATGTTTTCATATCCTTCTTTTTTTTTTTTTGTTACTGTACCTTTTCTATGAAGTCTGATGCACATGCTTTGATGGGGCTGGTGGTGACGTGGAGAAGGAAAACTAGAGCAATAAAGGAAAACCATCCCCATTGATCCCATACTTGGTGTCCAGGTGGAGAGATCAGGCATCCATTTAAGGGAATCTCGCTATGATGTTCAAATGGTGACCAGTGGGTCCAGACAGACTAAGATGTGGGGGAGAGCAGCTGGCAAGTGGAGAAGGCCTCTTTCCTCCCCCACTAATATACTAGAAGAAGGTGACTTTTTTTTTTGAGAAGGAGTCTCGCTCTGTCACCCAGGCTGGAGTGCAGTGGTGCCATCTTGCTTCACTACAACCTCCACCTCCCCAGTTTAAGTGAGTCTCCTGCCTCAGCCTCCCGAGTAGCTGAGATTACAGGCACCTGCCACCACACCTGGCTAATTATTGTATTTTTAGTAGAGACAGGGTTTCTCCAGTTTGGCCAGGCTGGTGGTCTCAAACTCTTCACCTCAAGTGATCCACCCACCTCAGCCTCCCAAAGTGCTGGGATTACAGGCATGAGCCGCCACGCCACGCCTGGCCAGAAGGTAACTATCTTAGAGGACAGAGGCTAACATCTGCTTTGTAGTTGGAACTCTTTCTATATTTAGCACTTGTTCCTTCCTAAGCATATCCTGGCCTCAGCTTGTTACCTCTTTCCATCCCCAAGGCTGGTGACCAACCTAGAAAGAAAGGGTCAAACCTCAAGGTTCTGTGCTTCAGGTTTAAGGGTGTTAGACTTAAACCATGATTGGACCATGATTCTGACAATGAAGTCTGATTACCATTTAAGATGTTTCCAGAACTCTGTGGGAAGCTCTAAGATCTGTGATCTGAAGTCAGAAGTAAAGCTGGGACCCAACCTGGGCATTCTCAGGAGGCAGATCTCAACTCCAACTGAGAAAGGAGGTCCCACAGACTGAGCTGTCCTACAAGCACAGGAAAAGGAAAGGGTAAGAGAACTCCCAGTCCCTATGGGTGGCACAGAAAGCAGTAGAATCATTCTTGTCGGGTGGGGCAGAGGGAAGAGGAATCTGTTTTAGAGGGCATCTCGCATCATTTCCAGCCAGGTATTCTGGATGTAGGGCTCTGGTACTGAGACTAAGTCATATACCTGCTTTTGGAGAAGTGCTTGCTGCTGGGATGCAACAGACCCTCATTGTCTACAGAATCTCCTCTAGTAGGGGCTGATAGAGGCAGGTAGTCTCAGGAATGGATGTGGAGTTGAATACCCCCAGTGAGCTGGCTATAAGTGGCCAGGCAGTACCTGGGCTGCGCAGACAGTTTGCAGAGATGATTTAGTCTGGGTTGAGATTGTTTTCTGTGAGAACTGTCTGTGTGTGTGAGAACGAACTTCCAGGTTCGACCATGTTTCCTTTGCTTCAGATCTTTTGGAGAGATTCCATGGCCTGGGAGTAAGTATATAGTTCAGGCTCCTTCCCTGGCATTCAAGGCCCCTGATGGTTTGACCCTGCTGACCCCCTTTTCTACCCATCACATTGCAGATCTGCCTCACCGAGAGCACTCTCAGCACTGAGTGCTGCTTTAGTTCTTGTTTCCTCTTTAAGTTAGCAACTCCCTCAAGATCACAGTTGGAAGAGCATTTGTCCTTTCAGCCAGCTTAAGACACTTCCATCCATACTTGAGTCAAGGCTCCTGTCTCTGTGCCCCTATAGCCTCAGGGCTACCAGTTCCCACAGCCTATGTTGTCATAGTCTGTGCCCATGCCTGGGACAGATACACACACACACACACACACACACACACACACACTC